GAACAGGATCCTTGCATCCTTTTCTCGGACTAGGACCTGTTCATATACGTTCTTGGCAGATGATCCAGAAGTGGTTTGCCATTGCCTTCTTCTGTGTGTGAATGGAGTAATTGTTATTATTCAGTGTTTATCATAAAATAATATATATTTTTTTTAAATTTCAATTACCTCTAAGATGTCCTCACATACTGCAGGTTGAATGCCACTGCTCTAGACTATGGTTGATTTCAGAAGCTTAGAAAAACAGTTCAATATCCTATTCCAGAATTTCATTACCTTATTAACAACTAGATGTATATGATGTCACTGTGTTGTTGGGAATTACATAATCTAACAGCACATTAACAAAAACCTAAACCATATAAACTTTGTGGATGGACTTATGATATGAATATTTATCTCACAAAAAGAATTTAAGATCACTGATGCTTCATTACCTGTATGGGTCCGTAAGTGAACCGTAAGCTGAGATGAATCTCTGGATCTATACGGACAAATCTGGCACCTGGAAATAGAAATATCAAAACAGTCCAAAAGGTTCAAATATTCCTTCGAAGTCATGCTGCATAACTTGAAGGTTTAGCATCTACACACTCACAAATTCACTACCTCTTAAAACAGAAACAAAATATTCGACACACATGTAAACTGTACCAAAAATGACACTGAAGAAAAACACTACTTTAACTGAACTCATGTTAAAACTATTTACATAACATTTATAACAATTTATATGATATTCCTCTTTTCAGCAATGCTTAACACACACACAAGGGAGTTCTAATGGAAGACAAAACCAGATAGGTAATTTTATAAGGCAAAGGACAGTCCTGGTGTTATCTTTTAGAAGAGCTGACTGTAATACTGACCAAAAATTTGTGAATGAGGACGTACAATGAGTCTCAAGAATAAAAAAGTTAAGGAACACTATCAGGTTAAAATCACATAAAATGTGGGTCAGAAGTATTAGACAAAGTATCACAATACGATCAAAAAACAATATAGATAATTAGGAATTAAGGCAGAATAAACCACAATTTTCTCTAAATTAGTAGATCAAAGGAAGCAAGATAAATAGCAATAGTTGTTTAATTAAAGTAATCATGTTTCTCTCTCTCAGTTAATTGAGATATAAGTTATCTCACCATAATTGTCCTTCAAATCTTCCTTCCTTTGTGTTATACACATCCACTAATCTTAACACTTATGAAACAATTTGCACTGCGCATGGCATTTTTGTAGTAAAACACATACACAACAGTCTGATTTGCTTATACTCACTTGTATGGACGTTCATCATTATGGATGCGCATGTGTTTTCGCAAACTGCCTCTGTCTATGGTGGCATAACCACACTGGTCACAATGATGAGGCTTAACACCTGAATGTATGCGTAAGTGCATCTGCAATTTGTCACCTCGGCTAAATGACCGTTGACACGTTTCACACTGGAATGGACGTTCACCTGGCAAACGTTCATAAATACTTTAACATGTCACTCACCTTTGTTTCCACTAAAATTAATTTAAAGCCGTATATAACAGAATGAGTATAACTGCCACTGCTGGTAATACTTCAAGTAGAAACAAGAAATATGTGGTGCATTTTTAAAAAAAATTATTTTCAAAAGTTTTAGTGTTGTGGATGTAAAGTATGGATAATTCAGTACAAAATTTAAAATAAAACGAACAGACAAAATTGATGCACAACCATGGATATTTCATACACAAGACTGTCATAAAAGACCTCCAATCTTAACCTAGGATAACTTACGGATACAATTCATACGCAACTTATAACACATTAGAGATCTGTACCTATGGATGAGAAAATGTCAGTTGTCCAGGAAAAAGACATCACAAATGTTGATGATGACATTGGTGACCCCAACAACAATTTAATAATAATAATAATAATAATAATAATAATAATAATAACAACAACAACAATAAACTACTTGATTTCTTACCTCTCACTAGACAAAGCCATTACTATTTAAATATACAGTATATTACAAAGAAATTGACTCGCACTAACATTAGGGTATGAGTATGCATTTAGTCCAAAGAATAATACTAATTGTGTTCAAGAACAAAATACTGAGGATAATATTTGGATCTGACAGAGAGAGAGTGAGGAAGCAAGGAATGTAACTTGTACCCTGCATTTACTGTTCTTTGGATCAAGAAAACATGATGGGTGGGACACAGAGAAATAAGAGATTATATGAAACTATCAAAAAAAATCAACAATAATATAAAAATCTAAAGAAGTAACATGTACATTCATATATATTATCCCATAAGACCCAAAACCTTTCAACAGCAAATGATCACCAGTGAACCAAGATACCAACACTTGCTAATTTAAAAACTCAGATTCTGGTTTGCAAACTCTATGGGAAGAGATCACTTGGAACAATTAGACATAAGTGAAAGGATAATATTAAAACTGAGCTTTGAGAAATTTGATGTGAAGCTGTAAACTGGACTCAACTAATACAGAAAAAATTAAACTTCTGCATTCCACCCTAATGATACAGAAAGTATATTCTTCTGATATCCCAGACAACTTCCTCCCACTGTTGATCCTCAACTCACATATACTTCTCTTCCATGGTGATGAACCTTCATGTTCCGTACGCACAGAATTTTTTGACTAGAAGAATTAACCATCAACTGCTTTCAGGAACACCATGTACTATGGAATAGGTTAAGACTGAAACTTTATATGCAAGTAAAATAAAAATGGAAGGCTGAGGAATTGCATGCATAAGTAGTCACATTCAGAGATATAAAACTATTACTATAAGAAATAAACCAATTACTGCTAGAAAGTAGTAACACAGACATTCAATATTGGTATGTAGCGCGCACAGATGGGACAAGATGTGTGCACCGGGTATTGGTTGGGAAGCCTAAGGGGAAGAGACCACTGGGGAGACCTAGACGTAGATAGGAAGATAATGCCAGGCGGGATCTATGGGAGCTAGGAGTTGAAGGAGACTGGATTTTGTTGGTCGAGGACAGGTTACGGTGGAGGGCTTTGGTTAATTCGGTGATAAACCTTCAGGTTCGGTAAGACATCTAGTTAGTTAGTTAACGCAGTGTGGACTTGTAGGTGGACACCAATATTTTGGAGAAACACAATGTCTCCATTTTTGGCCCCAAAATGGACACAGTATGTTTCTTTGTAAGCAGAAAAAACAGTCAGTACAATGATAAAATTTAGAATTCTCACATGCATTACTGGTATTTACGTATCATCATAATTCTAAAATGTTTTATAACTGAGTTGTTAGAAACTGGAGATTTCTGTACTTCCCGTATTCATAATAATTCATACATCAGTCTTTTTATTATTCTGAATGCAAAATTATTGTTCATCTACCTATAAAAATCACATAAAAAAATTTGGAATTTCTAATCTAACACAGTCATCACAGATTCTAACAAGCCACACCATCCATGACAAAGACAGCCTAGTTGTACCTGTGTGCCGCCTCATGTGACGAACCAGATCTTTCAGGTAGCATGTAGAGAAGCCACAACCGTCAAACGTACAATCATGTCTCTTCTTGGTACGTGATCTCGACATAGAAGAGAATCCTACTATAGGTGGAGAGATGTCAGCTGTACCAGCTGACAGTGAACAGGGCACAGATGATGTGGTAAGATGCAACTGGTCTTCAGGCAAATCTTTTTCACTTGCCTGAGCCCAGAGTTTGTCTTTTAACTCCCCTGAAACAATTTTCCTTGTAGGTTGACTTGACTCTGTATGACCAATGTCTTTGTTGCTGCAGCATCGTTTTGGTTCAGATTCTAATTCAAGTGTTACTACTGCGTCTCCTGGAAGACCTAGGGATCCAAGGTCCAATGATTCTCTTGACTCTCGTACAATCATTTCACTACCCATATTTCCTAAAACAAGTATGGGTGCTGCAGAGAATAAATCCATTTTAAATAATGAATAAGCCAAAAAATATCAATCACAAATGATGAATAAAACATGTTTTTTGTGGGCTCGAAAGTGGTTCTGGATGCACTTGTAGATAAAGAACAACACCTCATTAGTCTCAGAACAGATAAAAAGCTGTTAATTTCTCTGACTACACATTCACTAAAGGTGCATATGTTAGTTAAAGTATCTCACAATTAAGATTTCTGTCTTCTGGGTTGTTGCGCTGTGTAGTCTGGTCGATGCTAACCAACATTTCAGAGGTCATGAATATTCATCGCCCTGATGACGGAGGCAGTATGACCTCTGAAACGTTGGTTAGCATCGACCAGACTACACAGCGCAACAACCCAGAAGGCAGAAATCTTTATACACACCGCTGTGAAAACCTCAAATTTTATATATCTCACAATTAGCTACTTCTCCTACAATGTTCCTTTGAGCCATGAACTCAACTCTTTTAGTTTTCACTTGCGCTGTTATGCAATGTTACACAGGAATCTCTAGCGTAAAATTCATATCACAGCTTCACAGACACAAATAAAATACTATTTATGTGTCACTGACATATACGCATAGACATCTAGAATCATTTGCGTGAAGTTTGATATATTTGTTATGAAATGTAAATAGCCATATCAAAACATCATTACTTAACATTCACTTGAGGTATACTGTACTGGATTAATCAGTTAAGTACTGGAAAAAGATCAGTAAGAGTTAAAGTGAATGGGAAAGATAAATATTGCTAAATTTAAATATAAACAAAAGGTTATACAGAAATGCAGGAAGTAAGGGATACCGCAGGTATTATTTCTCTGTCCTTAAAATGATACAGATTAACAGCATGATGCTTATACGCTATAAGCACAAAATTAACAACAGACCTGTTCTTGAGGGAGACATATTCACGTGGGTTGATGTAACATCCTCATTGGCAAGCTGGTTGGCAAGAATTGTAGCTACTGCCTCCTCATCAATTTGAAATTCCCGTCTAGAATGTTGTTGCATAACAATAGCCTGCATTCCTCCTGAGTTGCCAGCAATGTTCTGTTGATTCACTGCCAGCTGCTGGTCATTCTGAATCCCGAGCAATCGAGATCGGAGTATCTGGGAATCACCATTTTCTCTGCATGACAAAGTATGTCTTGAATTGCCAGTTCCTGGCTGCATCGATAAATTTGAGCCATCAACGATAACTCGAAATATCGGTGGTCCTATAGGAGAGGGGGAGGTTGAATCTTCACCACCTGAAGATGATGTGGTGCTTACGTAACCCATAGTGGACTGCCCCAGTAAGGCAGACGCGGTGCCTGGAGGCTTCTGAGTATTCCTAATGCAGCCCGCGTGTTTGTGCTCCACGAAGAGGCTGATGTCAGAAAAATTCTGCTTGCATGCTCCACATATATGCAAATCTTCCTGGTTTGTAGGCAATATGTTTTGAAACTGTGATGATGCAGCAGAAGGAAATTGCACTGCAAATAACATAAGAAATAAAGATTACTTCTCTTAGTCTAACAATAACCAATAAAAAAAGAGATAAAAAAGTGTACTTTCACCCGCATATTTCTGCATGGCTCGTGTAAGTTTCCTTCAGACGTCGACATTCAGTTCTGCTGCAGGTTATACAAAGACACAGTACTAACAGCAAAGATTATGATGAAGATGATATTTGAAATGATAAACTGATTAAGAAAATGAAGATACAGAATGGAACTGATGCTCCACGGCCTTGTCAAATAATTTAAATGATGCCAAATTGGACTATAACATGCATTTTCATCAAATTAACAAATCATACTTGCCAGAGATGGAAGTTCTTATCACAGGGCAAAACAAAACAAATATAAATGCTTGTACAATGGCAAGCTTAGTTCACTGAAACTCAATATGACGTATAAGCAGCTTGAAACAAAGAAAAGGCAAAATCTCAAGAAGACTTGAATGACTGGAGAAGGAAAGGAGAAAACAAAATTACAAAAACTATCAACACAGTCAAGTTAAGTCTTAAATAATATAAGACACACCCCCACCAAAGCCTCATTTGCATTTCTTCCTACCAGAGTCACCACCATGTGATAAGAGATTAAAATGACAAGTCTTCTGGGTTATTATGCTACAACCAAGCTGGCTCTGCACCACAGCAGCATTCTAAATCATTAACTCTGCAGTTAAAGATTGCTGGTAGCCCCTTAATTCAGGGGTTTAAATCCCCTATTCCTGAACAATAAAGGTTAAGATTTATTTTAATATTATCCTCCAATCAAGTGATCTCTTCCCTTAAGGCTTTCCAACCAACATTTTGTATGCACTTCTCACCATCCCCAAGCATCCTACATGCCCCACCCTTGCAGAAAAGGACAAATTATGAAGGTCTCATTATGAAATTTTCTCCAGCGTCCCTTGAAGGTTCAAACATTCTCCTGATTACACCGTTCTCAGACACTCTCGCTGTTTTTTTCCCTAAACGTGAGAAGCCAAATTTCATGCCCATATAAAATAACAGGTAAAATTAAAGTTTCATATATTTCAATCTTTACATTTGAATATAGTACACAAAAGACAATGAACTGCATAAAACACAATCCCAGTATTTGATCTGCTATTTAATTTCTTTATTAACATAATTTTGATTTGTTACCATCATTCCCATATTGGATGCTTGAACTTTGTCACATTTTTCGATGATTTATTTGCATGTTTATTTTGTGATTTTGTTCTGCCGTCTGGTTGATAAGACATTAACATATTTTTTTGTGTCTTACCTCTCCATTAACTTCCTTTCTAGCATCTACTAAAACTTCTATGTCAATTATGTTTTTACCCAATAAATTAACATCATCAGCACAGACTACAAACTGATGTGTCTGTCCCATTCAATTTCAATCTGTCCATTTTCATGGACTTTCTTAATAGCATACATAAAGATTAAAGTTGAAAACATTGGTTGGAATCTGTCTGTTACATTACGTCTCTCTACCACAGTTCTGAAAAATCCCCAAGGTACAAGTTTCTTACAGGATGACTGCCAAAACGCATCCTTCCAAATCTACTGGCATCATGGTGAAACGTTACATAATTGGAACAAAACAACTTATTAAATATGAGTATCCGGTTAAAAATGTTTTTCGGGACGCCTAGTCTGGTCGTAACACAGATTTCGAGGTATATACATCCAACAGACATCATTTTCCGGCTGAATGTGATGTCTGAATGACGTTCATTGCTAATTTAAATCTACCAAACAAATCCATCTTCACTCTAAGTAAGGTTAAAGTCAGTCATTCACCTCTACAGCCTTTACTCTTTTATTATGGAATATATACATTCAGGATGCATGAGCATAATTCAAGAGATTGCAATAATACAACATTTTAGCTTTAATACTAAATATGCACGCCGGCAACTAAAGAGAGACAAATTTGCTAAAGAAGACAACTGAAGCAACACAACCTCCAACACGTCATTCTCCTCGGAACAAGGATACCTTGGGCAGGCCCCCAAGCAAGCACATTAAATATATGTCCAAATGCATATCACATTATGGTCAAATCTGCATTGATTTTAATGAATAAAAGTATTTACCATACACTTGTGATCCGACCGTAGTGATTGGTATGTTCATTTTCTAAGACTATTGTGCACTTATTATAATACATCGAAATTTACGAATATACGCCTACTTCGTCACCACTGAAATAGATTATGACCAGCTGAGATGTCAACAACGCACACGCATGGCAGGGTGTTTCAAGATGGCTGGTATGAGATGGAGTGTGGTTAGATCTTTTCAAACTTTTTGCATAAGCCCTAATATAAGTGAAAGGTAAAGTCTTTGCTGTTACGTATTATAAAGTACTAAAAATATAGTCACTGAATGGCTTCCAATGTCAATATTGAAATCAGCAGGAGATAGATATCAGGGTTTCTCAGTCAGTATAGTGGTTCGCTACGGACTGGACGACCGGGGTTGAATCCACGACGGTAGCAGAGGATTTTTTCCTCCAGACCAGTTTCCTATGGGTACGGAGGTCCTTTCCCGGGAGTAAAGCGCGGCCGGGGCGTGACGTCAACCACTCACCCCCACCTAGTGGCGAGGTTAAGAATGAGTAGGGTCTAAAAAACCCCCCCCCCCAAGCGCCTACATGGCGAATATTGTGACTGCAATTTTTTTAAACTGACCTAGAAAATATGCACACAGCAGGTAGATTTCGTATCAAGCCAGTTTTCATCTAACTGATGTGTAAACTGTAGAGATGAGCCCAGGAGTGGGCTTATTGTGTAAATTTTCTGACTTTTGTGTGGTTCTACAAAAACATGAAATGCAGGGTTGTATTTGTTGTCACTGTTTCATGTGGGTGTTAAATTGGCCTCTCATATTAAGGGAAGAACACATATTGAGGATATTGTTAGTATGATAAAATCCAGGAGGGTGAGGTGGGTAGGACATGTAGTGAGAATGCGGGAGATGAGAAATGTGTACATTTTGTTAGAAAGCTTGAAGGGAAGAGATTATTTAGAACACCTAGGCATACATAGGAGAACAATATTAAAATGGATCTTAGGGAAATAGAGATGAAGGATGTTCCTGGTTCAGGGTAGGGACCATTAGCAGACTCTTGGGAAAACGGTGATAAACTTTTAGGTTCTATAAAAGGTGAGGAATTTCTTGACTAGTTAGGTATATTATTAGGTGTCAAATTTCAGAGATTTGGGAGCAACAGTAACAAATGAAAGTTTGATTCATGAGGAAATTGAGAGCAGATTAAATTCAGGTATGCTTGCTACCATTCATTTCAGTTTGTCTTCTCATCTGCTGTCTAAGAACATAAAGATTAAAATATACAAAACTATAATTTTTCCTGTAGTATTGTATGGGTTTGAAACTTGGTCTCTGTGCACTAAAGGAGCAATAACAGTGTCAAGTAGTTTAGAATTAAATGAGAAATTAAGTAGGATTTGAGGTTCTCATGGTAGAACACAAAGATGACTGTCTTCTGGGTTGTAGCAGCATGTAGTCTGGTAGAAGTTTACCAATGTTTCAGATGTCCTTGCTGCCTCCATCATCAGGGTGATTATCTACCAGACTGCATGGCACTACAACGCAGAAGACAGCCATCTTTGTACTCACTGCCATGAAAACCTCAAATCATACTGTAGAAAGTTTGGTTGAGTGTGGGTAAAACTTAACTACTTTAGTACTCTTTTTTTTAGTTTGTGTTGCCTTTTTCAACAAGTAAGATTGAAGCATCAAAACTATCCAAGGCTTCGAAACCCCATCTGGTTTGTGAAGAAAGAGAGGACAGTAAGTATGAATGGTAGTGCATAACATACATCATATGCAAAAATTACCTGTACATAATTTTGATCTCAAATAACCTCTCGAGGAAGGTTAGAAAGACAGAGTTTCACCAAAATGTTCACATTTATCATGTTCACTGATAAATTTCACTATGAACCATTTTAACAGCAGCAGAAATTCTGGTGTTTAAATCATTGATACTGCCACCTGGAGTCATGATAGACTTTTGCATAATTCCTTGAAAAAGCCAGTCAAGAGATAAGTCCACTGTGGCCAATCCACCAATCACATATATCCAAGTTCAGTGAATCTTCTTACAAACACATCATAGGATGCTTGGAACATGGCATATTCATTAGCAAACGGAGGAGGTCATGTGTTTTGAAACTGTAGATCTACAAATAGTCCAAATACTTCAACATTGGTAGCTAGAGAATTAGCAGAGTAAAGGATGGATGTTGTTGTAGTACAGGGAGTTAAATGTGTGGGAATACCTGTCAGTATTGGATACACTTTTCCATTGAGAAAGTCTGGCTTTTACATCTGTAAGAGAATCAGACAACCAGTTAAGTAAGTAGTCTGATTTCATGTATCATACAGAGGTTGATGATGTGTGATTGATCTGAATGTACAAGCTGATGATACAGAGGATGATTCTTGAAAGGTAATAGAATGTATATTTATATACTTCCTATGTGCCATATAATGCCAAATTTAAATATAAAAATTGGTACTGCGGATGTTTCCAGTGACAACTAGAAATAGAAATTTACGTATTTATAATGATAATGGGTTAAGAATATCTGACTGTGAAAAGAAAATTTCCATGTCATGGTGAAGAAACTCGAACAGATCAATCACGTAACAGATAAAGAGGTATCATGTACCAGTAATTAATATTGCCTTCTCTACGGGAGATGAATATTGTTCTGACTACTACTCAATTATAAAACTTTCATTAATTAAGGGGACAAAGCAAATAGAAAGATTTTGTTTGAAGAAAGTAAACAATGCAGGTTTAAATCTTTGAAGAGTTTGGACCCAAGACAGAAAGGAATGAAAGTAAAACATGTAAATATTTTATGTCTTAACAAATTCATGTGCATAAGGAAGTCTGTTATTTCTCAGAATCCAAATTGTAAAGACATGGAAGCATGGGGGCAGCAGAAGATACAAATATTTAAAAAAAAAATATTTATGCTTTCAGAAATATGAAGAACATTTGACACAACAGAATAAATCATTCATCAGAGATGTTGTTCATGATAAATATGGCGGTCCACCAGCAATAATTGGCGGTGTCAGTACATACCAACAAAGTCCACTTAAAATTCAACCTATGGATAGGGGTTCTTGGTTTCTTGGTTGCAGGAGGTCAGGTTTAATTGCCCGTAACATAGGCATCTATCCAATGTGGCTTAAAGATGGGACCAGAGTTCTCACAACCTTACTACAAGTAAGTCATCTTTTTTTTTTTTTGGGGGGGGGGGGGTTTACACCTTTGTATGCTGGAAGGGAAATCCATTCTTTTGATACATATTTCTAGTTTGCTGATTAGGACTATATTCCCTTGTTACATCATTGTTAAAAACTTGTATATTTTCAAGAACAGAACCTAGAGTGTTTAAAATGCTTCTGTAGGCTTCTTAGATTGTAAAACTAATTTATAATTAAATTGTTCACTCTAAGGGGTGGATTTGCTTAAAAATATCCCCCTAAAAGTTGCAAAATTCTTTAAGGAGGCCTAGTTATATTTCTCTCTCCTTGTTGTTTGTCCCACAAAATGTCAAAATCAGACAGAAATATTTAAAGATGTTTAAAAAATGCCTCTGCTTATTCCCCCCCCCCCTTGAAATCCACTGCCCATTTCTTATATATTTCATTAGGATATTGGTGTTGAGAATAATCAGTAAATGAGAATTTTCTTGCTTTGCAAACAATTTCCATGTGTATGCACCCACACATGTGAAAAATGAGAAGTATTTCCTGTTTCAGGTTGTAGATAATCATGTTATCCGTTACATCCCACCAGAAGAATTTAACCCTCCACGAACATCTGTAAGGAATCCGAAATCTAAACGACGGTTAGGATGTTTACTTGTTGGTGCTGAGAGCGCAGATCCACAGAATGTATGTATATCTTCTATACTCGCATACTTATATACCAGTTGTAGTTTTAAGAAGAAAGAACTCCGTAACATAAAAATGAGGTGTAATACAACATAGGAGCTAGAATCGATGTTGAAGAAGTGAGGAATGTATTTGAGCCAATGGGGAACATTTTTGTTATCTCCTGTGTTGTAGATAAGGAAACTTCAATATGTCAGCATCCAAAAAGTAATAATAATGTTTATTGTGGGCATAAATTCAGCACCTGATAATGTCTACACAACATTCTTACATTGCGATTATTTGACTATTAAAGTGTATTAATTTTTCAACTAGAATGACCCAAGTGCAGCATTTATTTCATAGAACTGTGAAGTGCACCTAACCAGTGTATGATTGTTTATAGTTCACAAAGGAGTACTGTGGACTTTTTAAAGATTCTGGAGTGATGCCAACAAAAATACTGGGAAGATTCCTTATATCTCCTGAAGCAGTAATGCAGCCTGGAACACCCCTTTATGCTTCTCATTTTAAAGTGGGAGATTATGTAGATGTCAGAGGCAAGACGTAAGTATTATTCTTTTAAGATTTGAGGTTTTCAGAGCGGTGAGTATGAAGATTTCTGTCTTCTGGGTTGTTGCGCTGTGTAGTCTGGTCGATGTTTACCAACGTTTCAGAGGTCACACTTCCTCCATCATCAGGGCGATTGCCCTGATGATGGAGGCATCGACCAGACTACACAGCGCAACAACCCAGAAGACAGAAATCTATTATTCTTTTGTTGATTTAGACAGGTTGCACTATGTAAATATATGAATGTTGTTGTAATGTTATGTAGTATAATGTCTCTCACTGAGGTTTGGGTATCTGGGGGTATAAAGGGTACAGTTACAATAGAAAGCTTCTTGTACATCACTGTCATGCGGTACATCATTTTATTACAAACAAAACTCTAGGAAGGATTTGAGATTCTGACAGCAATGAGTACAAAGGTGACTGAGTCACTCACTGCCCTGATGATGGTGGGAGCAGTGACATCTGCCAGACTACATGGCACTACAACCCACAAAACACCTACCAAATATTCTGAGAACTGAGTTATGATCATAGCAGTCGAGTTAGACGTAAACTCATTAACTATGGAAGCCTGTTATAATGAGGGTACACAGTGACTGGAAAAAAATCACAATAATTAACAGGCCTACTTGTGGAAGATAGTTGAATGTCAAGAAAGGTAAAAAATTTCCCCAGAATCAAACAGCAAATGATTGGTTACGTTCATATTACTGCGTATGCCACAGTAATTTTAAGGGAAGTTGTTTTTTTCTATAGTACAGTTTACACTAGATTCCCAAAAAATGACATTACCAGTACTTGACTTTAACGGCTGCATGAATTCTCTTCCTGTGAGTGGCCGGTGGTAGAGGAAAGGAAAGCCAGTCCACTGTTGAATGTCAGAGAGACTATCACACATTAACTTGGTATTGCAGGATGAGATGAACAGATGCAAAAAGTAAAACCTGAATGAACAATAAAGAATAAACATAATGTATTGAATGTGATTAGTTACAAATTCAGTTATGGGGCAGCTACAAAATGAACAAAAAACCTTGTCGACTTTAATTATCAAAAGTGTGTGTTGCATTTAACCAAAGAATTCAGTTGCTAAACAAACTGCTGTTACCCACACATTATGATGGTCTGTGGCCAGTGCATTAAGTAATGGGATATGAAGGAAGATAAGAATAGTGAAGGAAAGTAAGTGATGTCACTAGCAAGGGTAAAAACATTAAAATTTCATTACCTTCAGACATGGTGCTAACATTGCAAGATTTCTACCATTGTTCCATTAGACTTTTGAATGTAACTGAATTATTACTATTTAAAATTTACTCATTATACCAGTAGTTATTATAGGCAGCAAATAAACTGATGTTAACTTGCTTACTAATAACACCTCACTAAAATCATGAAACATGATCTGCCTTGCATGTAACTATCAGCAAACTGACTCATACTCCCCCTGAACAGTACTTGTCTGTGAGTAGTACCGCACCTGAAACCCAAGGGCCGCTGCAGAGTAACAGATCAGTACATGTTTGGTCACTGCAGAAGCGTGTAACATTCCAATTCTCTGCAAAAAAAATTGCTAGTTAACCCCCACCACTGCCACATTGATTGTCATCATACAAGTGTGTAAACATTCAGAATTACAGTCCACGACTGTAATCTTGAGACTTGCAATGAATGCAGGAAGTCCGAAGCGTTAAAGGCAGATGCTATCTTTCCTCCTTCACCCCGCAGGTCTCAAGATTACAGTCGCGGACTATACTTCCACTTACATTGTCTAATCATAAGATGAACTGAATTAAACATATATACTCTTAGACAATTAAATGAAACAGTAGTTGGTAAGTAAATAATTTGATACTTTCCATTCAGTAGCGATAACCGGTGTGACAGCTGGCTCATAACAGCAGCAGCAACTAAGCCATGTTGCTAAATAGTTTGTTATAAGTTGTTTGCAAAAATAATATGACTACACCATATTGAGAGAGAGAAATATATATATGATTGCAGGAAGTTCTATTGAAAATAATTAAACAGTGCTCTTATTACAGTTGAAATATATTAATGTACTGAACATTATTACATAGGTGACCTAGCAAGGATAAATTCCCACTCAGAACATGGAATAGAGTTTACTGCATTTGCTTAATAGATATAAGATCAGACTCATTCTTCCCTTCCATGCAACACATGTGAAAAAGTGAACTTGTTTTTTGTAGGGTTTATTTTATTTATGGCAATAACTTAATTGATTTGGTACATTTCAAAGTTATAAGTTTTCCTCAGAACGTCTTGTCCTATCGTTTTCATTTTCCTTCTGTTCTTTTAGAAATATAGGACCATAGCATTGAGTGTTAGAATTATTTATATTAAAGAGATATATTTATTTTGTATTCTAATCCTACAGTTCTCACTGTATCATATAACATGTCATAGGATTTATCGTGGTTTCCAAGGCGTGGTGACACGTTGGGGATTTAAAGGAGGTCCAGCATCTCATGGTGTTACAAAGACTCATCGCAGACCTGGCAACATTGGCAGTGGAGGAGAAAAGGCTCGTGTTTGGCCAGGACAGAAAATGCCTGGTCATATGGGAAATCGTTACAGAATTCTTAATGGACTCCAGGTATTAATTGTATTTAAGTCTTAATTTAATTTTATAGACTGTGATATTAATATAGTGCTAAGACAGAAGTGTAGAGGAAAACTCCAATAATTAACAAGAACATGTGAATGTATCATTAGGATAACATTAGAAAGTTGCATTACAATTACACGTGTCTGTCTGCTGTCTAGGAACATACATCTGAGTTGGTATTATCATTGCTCAAAAGAATAGATATTGGAGCAGTATTACGCTAAAACAGACTTTTTAAGTGCCTCTTCATGATCAGAAGACTGGTGTGATACAACTTTCCAAGCAAAATTATTTTATACACTTTTATTCATCCATTATTATGTGAAACAATTTTTTTTACTGAATTATGTGCATAGATTCTCTGTGTCAAAAACCGCAACGCAATATTTCCTGGTCAGTCGGGATACAGACCATTTATCTCATCATCAACAGAAGATGTTCTGATTATTAAGGCTCATCTTAGTTTTCGGGGATGTAGATTTAGGAAGTAAAGTGCGGCTTATACTGCCATAAATACAATGCATACAATATGCTGTAAATCGAGCATACGTCGAATATGTGTCAAGGGAACTGAATCAAGTTGGGCACAAACACTAAACAGGTTTGGTTTATGTTATTTAATGATGCTGTATCAAATAAAGAAGTCATTTAGTACTTTATGGAAGTGATATCTGAAATATCTACAGGGATTTCCTCAAATGACTGAATTGCCTGGCCTTTTTGAGGTCGGCACCCGTCATCTGCCGAGAAAACGGAGTCTAGTGTCACAGTTAATATGCCACACATTTAAAAACATGTACTCACATTTCTGAAAGTAAATAAATAGTTTAAAAAATGTGCAATCACAATAGATGCTCAAAATGTCTCCCTTTTGCTCTTAAAAACCTTCCAATTCTCTTGAAAAGATTGAAAATGACTGTGTCATTCCTGTTTTGCAGGTGCTGAGGGTGAACACAAAATATAATGTGATCTGGGTGAAAGGGCAAGGAATTCCTGGAGGGACAAACTCCATTGTTTACATATATGATACCTTTCTCCCTCTGAGGTCAGTAGTTAATCTGTACTGTAGTAAGTGAAGCTTATTGTAACTGTATTTGACCCTCGTTTAATTTTATTGCAGAATTTACTAACCTCTAAAATATGGCATGTAATAATGGGATACTCTATTTAGTGTCTAGAAGTAATGTATGTATATGTAACTTACTTTAACTTCAAGGTTACATGGTTTACCAGTGTGCCACAGTGATACATGGTCGATGCACAGCTGCTAAACAATATCGTACAGAATTACGTCAACGTTACCTAGATCATTCTTGTTCACGTTGTAATAGTAGGATGAACAGTTGCCCCATTTAAAACAATAGGTCTTGTTATTTAATTTGTTTGTCTTTCATTATTATGAATATAACTTGTCGGCCACAAAAGTTCGTTATACCGAGATTTTACTGTATACATAAAAATGGATAAGGCATGGTCACAGAATGAAACACCCGAACAGAATTGTCAGCAGATGATGAAGATAGTTCGCAGCCATGAAATGTGCAAATTACTATGCAGCGTGTTCTAAATTTAAATGTATTTGCTGTCTATGAAGTAAAGAGAGCTATCCCACTATATGCCATGCCATGTAGGCGTTTGGGGAGGGGGGGTGGTGGTATAGCTCCTACTCATTCTTAACCTCAGCACTAGGTGGTTAGCGTCATGCCCCGGCCACACTTTACCCCCGGGAGAGGACCCCAGTATCCATTGGATAGGAGGTCGGTAATTAGTTTTAAGGTTTTGGCATTTGGGTTTTCTTTTTGTATATTATGAATTACAATAGCATATTTTGCAAATTATGCAAAACTCCTTTTGTTTGTTCTTGTAATTGTTATAGGAAGCCAAAGGAAGCACCTCATTTTCCAACTTATTATCCAGAAGATGAAGAGCCATTGCCAGATGAGATATATTCTGAGAATTTGCATCCGTTCACTGCTCCAACTATCAAATATGAAGAAAATGTGTAATGTTATAACAGCTGTGTGATTGTCTTGTATTATGTAGAATGTTATCATTAAAATTTCATATGTCTGTGTGTCAGACCTGTTTATTTCAACTCCCTTCGCTTACAAAATTAAAAGCAAGTAAGGTATGCAGAACATACAAGTGTAATGAGCATAAAGAAATATGCAGCATCACTTAAAATAAGACTGGAAAACACAATTTCCGTATGCATTCTGAATGCTCCCAGTTGAAACAGAAAAGTGCAATAAATCACTTATGAGGCTATTATGCAAGCATTACATCATCATTCAGATAAGTGTAGCAATAGATGATATAAAACATAAAGCATATTTTCTCAATGTAAAGTAATAATTATTTACGAACTTTTGCCGATTTATTTTCTTATTTACACAAGAAACTGATTGCTGAAAGAACAGCATAGATTCAAATAGCCTTATCATGTTGCAGCAACCCAGAAGACAGCCATTTTCAAGTGTGTCTGTTTTGCCCAGCATGATTTATGATAAAGTGTAACCAGAAGGAACAAGAATGTTTACTTTAATACATAATTTTCATGAAACAAAATGCATTTTTGAAGAGTTTGATACATGGTACCTAAAGAAATGTGTGCCTCAAACTTCGTGCTTATCATACTAGATGATAAGTCGGAGAGGAAAATGGTACACTAAAAATGCATACGTTCAGCTGACCACAGGATGCATGAAAATATGTTGAAGAAAATGGAACTGAAGTGTATACTTACATCATTTCCCATAAAAAATAAAACCAGCTTGTTCTTATATTTGCCCAAAAATTCTTAAAATATGGCCATAAGAAACTTATAAAATGTGTAAGACAAAAGAATATAAGGACTAAAATTCATGAATCACTATTACCGCCAGGAATCAACATTGTACATAATTAAAGAGAACAGACCTTCCTCCATACCATCCCAATTTAAATCCTATCAAATTGGTAGGCCATAAAGAAAAGGAAACACAAGAATATATGTCTATAAATTTGAGGGAAAAGCAATGTTTTACCAAAAAAATATTTGCTGAATACACAAAAGAAAATGGCAAAACAGCAAAACTGCTACTCCCACATACAGATAGAAGAGGAAAATTGGCAATGAAATAACTTAATAGATGTAGAAACTGAAATGCAGTTAATCACTTCGGAGAAAGTTCAACTTACATGACGAGTATAGCTGAAGGTGTTTTCTGGAGTCTGAAGAGGAATGACTGTGGAAATGGTTCAAATTTCTGTGTTTTGCCTAAGTTATATATAATTTTTTTCAAATACAAAAAGAAGCATTTTCAATAAATGTTTTCATTGTCTCGTCATTTTTAAGTGCCTTCTTGGATTTTTGAACCCAACTTTCAGTTTTATATCTGAATCAAAATTAAATGTGTTAGATCATATTTTATTTTACACAAAACTTGACCCACACTGCTTCAAAGATGAAGGCACTGTGCCAGCCCATCACTTCCAACCACTCTCTGCACTATGTAGAAAGCAGGGTTCAGCACTAAGTTGCTGTGCTATACATAGATGGATTCTGTTACTCAAACTTATGTTACAACATTACTGTCACAGAAACATAATATATCACTTTTACATTATTTGAAAAAGTTGCATCATAAATCTCATCTAAATTTTAATATAGTTAAAATAATTTATTATCCCATAGCTTAATGACCTATAAGAAATCAACGTAATCAAAAAACTTGTTGGTCATTTCTTTGAATTCAATGAAGAACCTTACCTTAACATAACTGGAGAGGTGTACTCTTTGGAGTATACAAACACTCCAAAGGTGTTCTTTCTGCCACATCACGGACAACATCAACAAGGCATCCAATGGAATATCAATCCAACAGTGGTATCTAAGGCAAGTGTTGTTCAAGGTCACTGTTGCAACAACGTGATCCAAGGTGACTTGTAATAATATAATTATATATAATAACAGACATGGATGGGTTCATAAAGTGTTCTTTGTTTATGCTAAAGCATAAAAAGCACATAAAAACTGTGTATGTGCAGACAAACTAATGTGACACTGCTGAAGCTTGTGTCATCACCACCTGTTCCAAATTCTCAAAATTACTGGAACGGACATACGTGCCTTTTGCAATAACTATAAGTAATTTTATACCATCGCAGTATGCATATTCTACAGTTGTGAAATCACGTCTACTGCAAAACCAATGTTTCTGCTCCCTTCTCTCTGTGGACCGTACCAGTGTTTTGTCTTTCTTCTTCAAGACAACGCTTTTTGCATTCCAACAACCTGCAGAAACATATGAACTATATAGAATGTTTGCTGATGTAACCTTATTGTGACATGTTTTGATCACACTGTGTTTATCTTCAGGCATTCTACAGTTTAACATGGTCTCCAACTCATGACAGGGCCTTGTATTCAACAGAGAAGTGAAGAGCTTTTTATTCTTAAATCACAAGAGCCTCATATTACACAGTGGTAGATTTATCACGTCCCTGAGCACATCTGCTGCATCCACTGGAAATTTTAGATTCTATTATTCCCCCTCCAATTCAACTTACTTTAAATTAAAGAAGAGTTTTGAAGTGCTGACCACCTGCTTTTAAGTAGGCCTCACATCTCAAAATATTTCTTGACACACGACTGAAATATCAGCGGTTTCTCTTCAAATACTGTCTTTTATTTTTTTGCAAAGAATGTGGACTGTTTACATAAACTGTCTTAATGTCAGCCACAAGTAAAAATAACACAGACTGAAATCTGGAGATCAGCGAGGCCACAGTCCACCAGTTATCAAATGTCAGTGTGGTCAATGAGAAATTTTCTGTGGGGGCATTTTCTCTTCTTTGGTTAAATCCCTGAAGATTGGTGTCAGAATTATTCGAATGTAACAGCTGGAATTTGCTGTTTCTTCTAAAAACATGTACCTTATATTGTGTGCGCTCATTGCATACCAGACTGACTTTAAGGGCAAACAAAGAAAATTCATTAACTGCATGGGGATTTTCAGGACACTAATATCTGTTACTTTGCTTATGTTCCTACTTAATGTAAATAATACTTCATAAAAGGAAAACAAAAGTTCAGGATCAAGAAATCTGTTGTCTACTGAGACTTTGGACC